GGGGGGGGGTAAATGGTGTAATTGCACTAATGTGACTTTATTAGAGGACATGGGGGGAGGGGGGGGGACAAGGAGACTTGGTGTAGCCCTAACTGTCGGATCCAGATGATCAGGTATGAGAGAGAGAGAGAGAGAGAGAGGGAGAGGAGGTGAGGGGGGAGACCAGAACCAGATCTGCTTGTTATGCAACAACCTTACATCTCTATTGTGTCACATTTCAAAATTGCACTGTAACACCCTGCTGTGTTTGTGCTCTGCTTGTAGGATTTCACATTGCTGTTATTAAAAGTCAGAACATCTGGAGAGCGCCAGTGTCATTCGTCTGTCACATGCAGGAAGTTACCTATTTAAACTAAATCTAATTCTATCCCTTCTTCTTATTACAGATGGATGTTCAGCTATGGCATGTGACACATGTGGAGCCACTGGTGACTGCCAGTGGGTTAACTGCACATGTGAGTATCTGTCCTGAAAATGTGTGGCAGGTTTTGTTCTTTGTGTGTCCTAAATTGTCCAGACAGCTGAAACTGATTGGACACATGATTCCCGGGTATGGAGGGAATGTATGCGATGGCAGTGGATGCTGACTTTTTAAGATGATGTCATGCCAATTCCCCCTAAAGCCCCAAGCTGTATGTCACTAACCACCGCCGTGCATCTGGACATGCTGGTTTAGGTGCTTTATTATTTCATACCACAGTAAATATAGTAAAATGAATTCAGTGTAGAGGATCGACGCTAGTTGCTTTCTCCTTGAGCCGAATATAAAAGTCTCACTTTGAGTTCTGATCGTGCATTTTGCTGCCGTTTCCCTCCATCACTGTGACACTTGTTTCTTAATTTCATTATGTTAATGGAAATATCTGGAAATGAACATGAGTGCTCCCGAGTATGAGAAATCTCCCTGACTTCTGCGCTACGGAGGGGAGCTGTGAAGAAATATGCTGCAGTGGTATTTTTCAACCTAATTTGGAAATCTGCTGGTTGTGATTTAGAAATATGCATCATTCAGTAAAAAAAGGAATTGCCATAACAGAACTGCATGACTGATTGCTTCCTGAGTCAACCAACGGCTTTCTTCTGTGGTTTTGTTTTTGTTGGTGAGGAGAGGAGCTGTTAGTTTTTTTTTTTTTTTATCATGTTATCAATGACAGGAAATGAGGTGACAGGTTTTATGAGTAAAGCACAGATCAGCCTGCATAATCTTTTATCTTAAAATAGTTGGTTTATCACACAATTTAATCATATTTGTTGAATGAAATTCTGTGATAAAACCTAGCTTGAAAGCACACCTCTGGCTCAGTATTTGGTGAGGTAGAAGCTACAGTGGACCTCTGGCCAAAACCTGAGCCTGAAATCCTCACAAGTATGACGATTATTTACCATATCGCCCTAAAGGGCCTCACTCCAGCGCTGGCCCGGGTTCAGTATGTGCAGTCAGGCGTGCACGGGTCTCTAGTGATTGTGAAGATGATGAACAGGAGAGGAAGCGAGGGGATGTGTGGCAGGAAGCCTGCAATATCCTCACGCTAGGCAACAGAAGGAAGGAGAGGATAAAGGCAGGAGTCAGAGGAAAAGAGTGTGCAGATAGGAAAAGATAAATTTCATGTGGCTTGTTGTTCCCATGATGTATGCCTCGGGGTGCAGCTCAGAAGGAACCGTGATCTCGTCCTACATTCCAGTTGTCATTAAGCTCAGAGAATGAAAGACACCGTAACGTGTGTGTGTAATCGTAACCCTTTTACTCATTAGTCTAGCATCTCGTGGGAGATGACCTGTTTGACAACTTTACCAATGAGGAGCTTTGAGTCTGCCCTACTGAGATTTGCCGATCCCACGCCCTGTTTCTGCTGTGTTTCTGAATGTTAAACTGTCCTGCGACGATACTTTACCTAATGATTCATTAAGCGGTTGAACAGGACAGGTAGGGTGACAATTATGTGCGTATTTCCTGGAGCAAAGGGACAGTTTCCCGAAGGAGAAACCTGGTCAGGTTTACAATTACACTGAATGCACATGAGGAAATAAGCAACAGACACAACGAATGTATCAAAATCTGTTGTCTCGTTTAGTTTTAATCTACATAGTCAGTTTTTATTGTGAAAAAACAGATTTGATTAGCAGTTATTTTTTCCATTGGTCATATGATGTTAGTGTAAACAAGATAAATGAGTCATTGCTACGAGGTTCAGGGAGGTTTTTGGCTGTTTTTATCTTGTTCTTGTTGGAAAATGTGTCTCTTCTACCCTGACTTCCGATACTAGAACAAACAACTCACACCAGTCTACTACACAGCGATATGGAAAAGAACAGCCACGCAAACACACGCAAACACACACACACACACACACACACTAAGTAAACCTAGAGCTAAAGCCTTTCACAAACTCTAGAATGGATCACCTATTTGATATGAACTCAGCAAAAACCGGAAAGGTCAGCTCTGGCCAGTCGAGGTGGATTTGCTGGAGTACAGCGTAACCACACTGCTGCAGAAAGCTAACGCCTACCACGTTGTCATTACCAGATTTATCTTCGGTTTAGGGATTTTGTGTAAACAAGCACTTGGCGTCAGAGGCGCATTTCCCAGCAGCCCAGTGTTTAAATGCTCAGAAACATTTACACGTGTACATGCGAGCTCTGTAGCGTCTCTTAAGTACAGGCCGCAGTCTGTGACAAAGCTTGTTGAGTGCTCCTAACCAAGAGGATGTTATTTGTGGTTAAGATGGGCCGTTGAGGGTTTCATTCACACCTCTGGCTTGAACAAGCTGTGGATGATGATGTCACCATCTTGAAAAAGGGTGAGAGTCAGTCCTAACGTTCACAGCTGCCTGTGAGATAACAGCCCTCTGACCTACTAGAGGGTGAAAGAAAAGCCTCCCAAATGGTTCGACATACATGGATCGCAGTGTCAGATCACACAAAGAGTGTGAAAGTTAAGCCAACGCTTTTTAAAAAGGCTTTATCTTTGATTTGACTAAATCACAGTTAGAAAGGCAGTGAGTCCATTAAGTTTGCAGCTTTAAAAGTGTCACTTTTTTGAGTTTTAAAATATGTCACACAACTTGTTTTTTTGTGCTCAAGGGCTGAAAAACAAACATCAAAACAGGGAGAAGCTGCATAAACAGTGTTGGCAAGTCAACGCCAAGTGACCGCGATGGACACCTGACAGAAAAGCTACCAAATACCTCAAAACCCCGGCCTCAATAATAACCACATAACTGAACCAGCAGCGACACAGTCTCAACAGACTCTTTACATCATGGGCTCCACAAACTAATAGTAATGACAGGACAGCTGTTTGAAAGATGCGTGTACCCATGGCCGTCGCACCAAGATGCATAACCTGATACGAGGAGCACAAAGAACAGCCTTGTGAGCTGTGGAAAATGTAACGCAGACTCCTGAGTCATTTTCTGACCCTGTTCGGACAAAGCCAAAAGAGGCTTACAACAATGGCTGCAGCCTTACGGTTGTAAAGTTGTATCTGTAATTTTAGTAATTTATGGGGAACCATCTGGTGGGCCTTTTTAGGTTTCGGTTGCTGTGGATTATTGTGTAACAAGGAGGAAACATGTAGGAAGGTGTTTTACAGCACCAGGTGCACTCTAGTGAGTAGACGCAGTTCACTTTATGATGTTCCTGTATTCCTGGAAGACAATACCCTCATATGCTTGTAGAAACATATTTAAGAGGGATTTCTTATCAACGCAATGAGGTCAGCGGCCTTTAATGGCCTCGCCTGTCACCATATTTAAGCATTATTGAAGCTTTGTGGGACATGTATGTATCACTTCTGTTGCGTAGGGCCTGTAAAACGGCATTCCAGAGAGGACTGAGACATCTGCAGGCAAAGTGCGGCCATCCTGGATGTCCACTAAGTCCATTCAATGGATCTCGATGAATCAAAGCATTGTATGTCTTTAAAGTAGTATGTTTTTTCAGATTATGGGTCTCCGTTTGTCTGTCTGAAAGTACTGATAAATGCCCATTATAATTTCTCACAGTCAAGATAAGTGTGTCAGATAGAAAACATTTACAGATTTACTTACTGTCATGTATATAGGAGCATAAACTCCTCACATTTGAGAAGCCAGAACTGGAAAATGTGCGGGAGGTTTTGCTGTGGAATTAAAATCAGTTGATCATTTATAAAAGTAGTTGCTAATAAATCTTCAACCATCTATACATTGACCAGTCATTTAACCTTTAATGCAGAATATATTTATCAGTTATCAAAACTTCACACTTATTCAAAATCAAACATCTGATAAAAACACTCACATGAAGGACATTTGAAATAAATGTTATGGTTTAGTCTGTAAATGAGTAAAATGATGTTTCTTTGGTACATTAATAAATAGCTAGATCAATGCTACGCCTGTTCTTGGCAAGTATTTGGGGCGGGCTAGACTTTATGGCAGAACAAAGTCCCTTTCTGTCGTGGTTAATTAGTAATCCAATTTTACAATAAAGGAGGATACACCTAGTGGATCAAACTGTGACTCAGCAGACTGAACATAGAAAAACAAATAGAAAAGTCTTCAGTCTTAAGCAGTGGAGGAATGTAACTGCTGTACAGAAGAACGATTATAAGTTACTTTAACTTTTATACTATATACTATATTTTTCAGAGCGAAATACATTTATTTGACGCTTGTAGTTGCAGATGAACATTTTACATACAGAGTATTTGTTTATAGAATATAATGCATTGTGATTTAATTACTGATCTGTGAATAAAGTTGTTAAAATGAGCTCAGTCTGGAGCAGCTGAAACATTAAAATGCTTCTTACGTGTTTATACATTAGTGATATTTTACTTACTTTTACGTTGTGGCTTTTACTTATGATGATATGATCTAAATGATCTAAATAATTACCCCCCCCCCCCCCCCCCNNCCCCCCCCCCCCGGTCTTAAGTTACTTATTTTCTGTTATCAGTGTGTTATGAATTAATGATGTTTCAAGTCATGCCAGATGCAGTGCTGATTTTAAATTTTAATTTTAAAGCTTTCAAGCATCAATTTCAAACAAGTAGTTTTTTTTTAATTCTTTTATTTTATGGGGGCAGCAGGATGGCAGGAACGCCACCCACCCTGCTGCAGGATGTGGGCTTGTGTGAGCAACTGCTCCGACCTTCCTGTGGAGGAGATAAGAAAAGTGATATGCAGAAGGGCAATTCTTTTTTTCATAAGTATTTGTAAGCACAAAACAAGTGACCGAGAGATAATCAGATGCAGCTGTGTGCACTCTATGAAATTTGAACATGAAATCGACTGTAGGCCAGTGTGTTTCGGACACACAGCGATGTTCTTGATGAGCTGAGTAATGAGATCTGTGAGTAACCAGTCATCAGCTCAAAATAACTTGAACTTAAATGAATAAAATCAAGTGCTTTTTGCTCTTGCATACACACATCAGACACTGAAATCTACTTTAAAAAGCTTGGGTAGATTTAATTCATATAAAGCATGAGTCAGGCTTTTGATGGATGATATTTTTGTCTCTTCCAGCAACTGTTGGCTGTCGCAACATGACGCTTATGGCAGGCAACGAGACCTGCAGCAATGTCAGCTGCTCAGGTGAGTTTAACAGCAAAATGGTTCTAAATAAAAGTCTGTAAATTAACATTTTGTATTAACATACTCTTTCAGGCCCCAAGAGAATCAGCAGACATTTGTAGGCAAAAAAAAAAGCATTTCTTCAAGTTTTAGGGTGTAAATTGTCTGCAGATTCTGTTCGGGTCTAGTTTTGCTCTAACTAAGGTGTCGGTTAATGGTGTGTGTGTCAGCACTTGTCTCTTATTTGTTGTTTTTGTTTGTGTCTAAAAGACTTGTCTAGGTGTAGCGTATAATTTTCACCTGCCTAAGAGAAACAATGAGGGAGCGTTGCTTAACTTTTCTTGTTGTTTGGGTGGTGTTTCTTGCTTCCTCCCCGTCTTGGTGTTGATTCCCTGTCCAGCTGAACCCACAATACCTACGCCTACACCTGCCTCGACTGCAAATGCCTCTACGACTACTCCCCCTCCCACTACAGCGCCCCCTGCCCCTGTCACCACCACTAACGGCACCGCAGGTAACCAGTCCCGAAAAGACTCTGCTTCTCCCTGCTAGTCTGTGTTGTCTGGTGTATAAGCTTTTAAAGTTATAATCCTTAAGAATGTCATCAAATGATTTTTTTTAGCAATAGCCACTCCGTAATTCCCTCTCTGTGTGGTAGGTTTTCATTTTGCCTTCGCAGATTCACAGGAAACAATGCTGCATATAATCTAGTGTTAATGTTTTAATTTCATCTCACTCAGCCTCACATCCTCACATCTTTATCAGAGCTGTATTAAGTTAGCGCTAATGGAAACCCAACATTTTATACTGTTGCTGCGTTACATTAAAAGACTTTTTAATCGCGAAACACAGGATGGCTTTTTATTGTGAAGCAGTCACAGAATACACAATCACTGTGTTTCAGTAGTCGTTCAGCACGGCCTCATTGACTTCGCCTCGATACACACCCTCAGGGGAGTCCCTGTCGCCATTATAAGTGTCATTCCCAAGTGTGAACCTATCGTGATGTCACCCATTGGTTTGTGGAGAACCATTTCGAAGCCTCGAGTTCTGCATTATGTAGGTTTTTCTGAGCAAGCAGTGATGACGTACTGCGAGTAGAGCTGTGCTCACTGGATGTGCTTAGTTTTGACTTGTCCGTAGAAGGAAACATTGGTGGCTCGCCTGGTCACACGTGTTCTCGTATTACAGATACACAGTACATTAAAATATGTTTCTTAAATGATTTTAGGCTTGAAATAGCCAACACTGGATAGAGAATGACACAAGATAGCAACGGCCTAAAGCATACCATGCTTTATCATCTGTTTTCCTCAAAACTGGACAATAATCTACAGAATGAACATGATGCTTTATGGAAGACGACTTTAAACTAGAGATTTAGACTCTAAACTCATTAGGAAACTGTTTGCTGAGCTAATCAATCCAGTGAGAAGTAGGGTCATTTCTCCATAAGGCTCAATACTGTCTGACTGTGTATCTCTTTCAGTGCATTGCAGTTAATGCATTTGGTGCAATGGTTAGGTGATAGTAATGTACTTAAAACTCTATTTATTATTAATATATATTTATGTTTTCAGTTTTTCATCGAATAAATCTGCAGGTATTTCGGATGATTTGTAGAAACCAGTATATAGCACTAATAGCCTACAACTGGCGGTCGATCCGTGATAGCTTGAACTGAAAGTGTACAAGTGTGTTCAGTTTAAATGTGTGATGTATGCTCTTACAAAATACCGAGGGCGAATGAGGGGAAGTCCAACAACCAATGAAACACAAATGCACTAACCACGATTGCTCATCAAAAATGGGTCCACAAAACAAGACAGCAGTAATTTTCAGCATTTCTGATCAGTGGATCATTATTACTTTTGGCAAGGGACTAATGGAACAAGAGTGAGCTGTTAGACAAAGGATCTAGTTACAGAGTTAGAGGCAACAGGCTGCACACTTCACAGCAAGGCAGCAAACCTTACCGAGGCCCTGCTGGTGTGTGGAAAACTACGCCTAAATCTTAAGGATTACAACTTTTTAAACAATTGGCTTAAAGTTAAACGGTGTAAAGGCTAATGGATGTGTTCTTACTGTCACTCTACGACAGAAAATGCAACTACTATTTCAACCGTTGCCCCCACTCAAAGTGGTAACAGCTCCACCATTACGCCTGCATCCTCTACTTCAAGTAAGTGGAAAAATCTGGTATTATGAAAGAGCGAGAGCATTTTTATTTGTCCTGTGATCTACAGAAACAAGAATAACTCCACTATCTCTGTTTTCCTTTTTGCTCGGCCTTTCATCACAGCTGGAACCAGCACAAGTACCACAACAGTTTCCCCTTCTCCTGAACCTCACAAGAACACCTTCGACGCTGCGAGCTTCATTGGTGGGATAGTGCTGGTCCTTGGCCTGCAGGCAGTGATCTTCTTCCTCTACAAATTCTGCAAGTCCAAGGACCGCAACTACCACACCCTTTGAAGCAGCCGCACTTTTGGATCCACATCACTCGACTTATCCCCGCCGACCAGAGAAGATTCCCCCGCTCGGCACGCAGTCACCGCAACAGACTCAAACAGTGTTTTCAAGCAGGTTTTCTAGATCTTTGATGTTTATTCCACTATTGGTTTAGGCCTGCATTAGCGTCTGTATTAAGGCAACCTTGCAGGTCTGCATGTATAATTCACATCGCACTAACGTGTCAAACTAAACAGATCTCTCCAGTGATATTACATTTAAGACTTGAGCATATGGATTACATCATCTGGTTGCTACTCCCACCTCCTGCCGTTAGTCATTCTGCAGAGACCATTTTCCAGCAAATTGAGGGGGTTTGTGTTATTTACTGCCCCTCTCACCACATGAGAGTTAAAGAATTACTCATACATACAAAGTAGCTTTCCTGTCAATGCTTGGGAGTTGTACAGCTGCAAACCGGTAGCATTTACATCAGTCGTGTCTTAGTTTGGAAACACTGTTTGAGTTCACAGCTATTCTTTAAATGTGACGACTGTGATGATTCAGTATTGCTTTTAGATCATTCAATCCCTCCCAGATCTCTCTCTCCCCCCTCTCTCTCCCCCACCCCCCACCATGCAGCTGTTTCATGTATATGTGTTCATAGATGATGTAAAAGAGGTGGGGAATAAAAGCAACACTAAATCATCTGATGTCAGACTTGAAAAAATAGCTATTCCTTCTGGTTATTTGGGGTTATTATTTAGGAGTGCTGTGCGATTTCTGCTGTTGACTTCCCTGGTTAACCCCCCCCCCCAATATTAGTTATAAAGAGATATCAAAAACCGACTGCCAGTAGAGCAGCTCAATGCAATAAATCATGTAACAAGTTCCATCTCATCTCCCATCCTTTAATCTCCCAACTATTATTTCTGATCTTTACCAACGTCAAAACTTACCCATCCAGGTTGCTAATTGTTGAGCTGGCCCCTTTGGTCTCATGTTTTATTTTTATTTTTTTGGAGTTGTCAGGAAAAAAAGCACCTGTGGGTCAAAATGAAAGATTGTAGAATATTTCATTTGTTTTAATAATGTAGATAATATAGAGAAATGGGGAGATAAAAGCAAATGGCATGCACCTTCTTGATGTGGACAGTGATAGCAGTGAAGTGCCTTTAATGTCCAGTATGACTTAAAGTTAGACGTGGAAGAGGATTTTCTGTCGAATGAGGCCCGAGTGTTATCGTTAGTTTATGTTTCTGAGGAAGAAACGGTATCGCGGTGCTGATATTGGTGAGGACCGTAGTATCCCAGCTGGACTGAAGAGGCTTTTATTGTTGAAGAATACCGTAGATAGTCGTCACTCGAGGGCCTTAATCAGTCGAGATTGAAGTTTTTTCCCTATAAGTCGAGGACTATATTCAGTGCATGAAACCTATGGTCTTCTCACTGGTGACCTTGATGAATAATTGAAGGCGCTCTCTCTCTTTATTTGTAGCTCCCAATGCTGCTCCCAAATTTCCTCCCACCGCACTATTTATGTGTCAGATGTGCGTTTAATTTTGAAACACTGAACAATGAGCTGGCAGGAAATTTTGGACTCCTGTTGGGTGCTGTAAATCTGAGAGGGGTACCTCGTTTTCTCTTTTCTTTTTTTTTTTTAAGAAAAGGCAAAAATATTGGATTTAATTTAAAAACTTGAGTATTGGAGGGAGTGCATTGAAGTAAAAACGTTGGCTTGTTTGAGTGCTGGTTTGGTTAAATGAGCATTGCACCTCTGATTTCTGACTTTCTGTCGCATAAATGAGAGGATTGTGAGTGAAGTGCAGAACTGCAACAGCGAAGTGGCCATGCTAGAGCTCATGTCAAGTTCTCTTATTAGCTTGCTGCTAACTGTGATTTTTTTTTTTCTTCTTCCCCCTCTTCCTCCATTGTGTCCCTCCTGTACATAGCCATGTCCTGTTTTTGTTTATCCTTTTGGTTTCAACTTGAGGAAAGGCTAAATGAAGGAGTGTTTATCAGTACATTTTGCTTGTAGCGGCTCGTCAGTGTCAGGAATGTTTAGTTAAACAGCTTTGTTTTTTTCTTTTCTTGATTGCATGCTGGATGCTTGGAGTTGTGATTTTTTTATCCTCCCACTGCATATGCTCTTAAGGATTTAGACACTTAAAAACCACTTGATTATTTGTGATTAGCCCATATGCTAGCTGAAAGAATTGCCTTGAAACAGTGTGCATTAAGCCAAAGTCCTCAGTTTTGGCATGGAAATTGAGCATTGCACTGACAAGCTTTGTTTTGTAACTTTGTCTTTGTACATGTTTTCATGATTCAGCCAAAAAACAAAAAAACAACAAAAAAAAAAATCCAATGCTTGTATAAATACTCAGTCTTGAATAGTAATAGATAGTGGATGAATAATCACCTTGTTTTGTATGACCACAAACAGTAAGAAATTCATGAGTGCAGTTTCTTTTTTTTCTTTTGGCTTTCATCATTTTAGGAGTACATGTTTTTTCTGCTGCTCACCATTAACACGCCTTTTAACCTAGTTACCTGGTGGCATTAGGCTACAGCCCAAAGACCCAATTATGGTGAGTAGGCCGTACAGAGTTTGGCCTTAGCTGCACCCGTTTGTCCATTCTCTGCATGTGGAGAGCCTTCGCCCCCCAAATTTAGAGAGAAATATTTGAGTTTTATCCACAGCCGTCGAGCGCTACGCTGCGTAACCACTGAAATCCAGTCAAAGCGCTCTCTGCTTTTCAACATGCTTGCTGCATTCCTTAAGAACACAGCATCACATGTTGACATTGCCGTGTGTCCAAAACACCTCTGGTATCCATGGATACCAATAGATGTCCATTGTGTTGCCTCTCTGCAGCTTCTGCTACAAGTCCACTAACTCAGTCTGTGCACCTCTTTTTAAGGAAAAGTGCCTTATTCAGTTAATATCCACAAATAGTTGTAGTTTGTAAAAAAAAAAAAAAAAGATATGCCACACATATTAAATATCCACGGGACTCAGCACTTTCAGACCCCTGTGAAGTGTTTTTTTCTGTGTATTCTGCTTAAATGTCTTGTTTTGTCACGCTCAGCCTTAACTTCTTGATCAAAACCCACAGAGCATTTGCTTGTGACAGGCTGTCTAGGTAATTAACAGGCGGCTTTTGAATGCAGTTTGTGCGTTCAGATGTATCTTGTACTCCGTGGCTGGCATGTCGGTAGCATTTAAGTGCCTACATTTTGACCAATCGCACATTGTAGGTGTTAAAAAATGCTGCTGAAATGGCTGTAACCAGCTAACGAATGGCACAGTTTTCAATTGAAGCCTGATTGTAGCCTGGACAACTTCCCACCAGCACATTGTAATAAAATAACTTAGCGGTAATTGTGCAGCCACAGACCTCTTAATGTTCTTTAACTGCAACATTTTGTCCATGATGCAAACAGTCACGTGATGACTTGAAGTTCTCTTTGGTTGTAATTTTCAATTGTTTTCATTGAATTACTTGTTTTCTTAGGAATTCCTTAAGAAAAGTCCAAATTTGCTTGGTCATGGAGGGCTCTCCTATCAGTTTTCAGCCTTGCAGTGTTCCAAGAGCAACAAGTTAAAAAGCTTTTTGATTCCTTCCTTTGCCTCGTGGCTTTATTGCTATGTGCACACACACTGTAGTGCCATATATTTTACCTTGTTGTGTTAAGAGGCCATCAGTCTTGGTACGATTATTTTAATTTTTTTCTGTGGCTTTGCTCCCACCCCATTTTGATACACACACACACACACACACACACACACAGCCAAACATAGACACTTGCAGGTGCCACAATGCCCCCCCACACCTCCAAACCCAAACCCCCGGAAATGGTTTGTGCTTATTTTTTTGCTCTTTTTTTTTATTTTATTTTCCTTCTTCTCTCAAACCTTTTTATTTTGTGCCTTGTTTTTCTAGTGTTGCCTTTAGTTTCACGATGTAAAACCAATAAAGTTTGAATATTGTTAAACAAAGCGCTGTATTCACCCTTCATTCGACGACAGCGTCAACTTTCTTGGAGCTGGCGATTTACATGACAAATCACAAGTGGGACGATGATACGCAGCCAGGTCTCAGTGAAAGGCTCCATCGCCATGGTTACAGTTGGAAGACTAGTTGCCACGGACAACAAAAGGTATCAAGTTCAGGCATTGCTTTGTCTTGCCCTGTGTGTGTGTGTGTGTGTGTGTGTGTGTGTGTCTGTCTAATGCTGGGTCAACAAGCAAACAGCAGATTAGAGCTGAACAACCATCATATTTACAGTATCTAAACATTCAGATGTCTACAAATTCAGCACTTTATTCCTATTAAATCTGGATTTGGCATTAAATATCTTTACCAAAATGCCAGCTATTCAAAACTTTACGTCTTATTTGCCGTGTAAACTGACTAACTCTGCTTTACCTGCTCCTCCATGTGAGTGTGTTGGTCAGTGTGCTTGCAGTCGTTTGGGAAAAGCACTAATATAATTTACATTCTTATTGATGTTGTACAGCTGGATCCACCCTAACCCCATCAATGCCCTCCATCTCTGTTCTCTGCCTGATTATCTAGAGTTAGTGGTTATCGTTTCCCCCCGTGGGCTCCCAAGATAAATCTGAAGGGTTACCAGATAATTAAAGGAATAGGAATAGAAACATATTTGTGTTACATATAATTATTACTGCAGTGTATTGCTGCCACGCCAGAAAAAGAAAACTGCATCAATATTTTGTTAAAAAGTGAAAAGTTTATTGTTATAACAGGATGGTTTATTAATTTAATTTAATAAAACATGTAAACTTACCATGACACTTTATAATGTGTTATAACGTTTCACATTATAACAAGATAAATAGTATAATAGGTTATAACAAGAAACATCTTCTGATAAGTTTGTATCTCCTAGTAATGTGAAAGATATCTTGGTATAAAAAAACTTTTTTGACACTGTTCATTTTTTCTTTTTCTGGCATTGGCAGCAATAAACTGTCGTAACTTTAGGTATTTAGATTATGTTTCATACTTTAGCCTCTTTAGGCCTCAGGACACCCACGATGTCGTAACCTGTGACAAGGGGTCACAAGTTAACATTGCTTAATTTTACTGGGTCACAAGCCCAAAAAATGTTGGTAACCACTGAGCTACATGATAATTTTTTCGTTTTTGGTGATACTAGTGCCTTCCTTTGGCTGTAAACTTACTAATAGCCCTGCAGTCATCCACTGTATAGACAAGGCTTTTCCCAAAGACTTTACATTATCCTGTGTGTAATAATCTTACGAGAGAAATGTTTGAAAAGTGTTTGAAAAGGAAACTGGTACAAAGTTTATTCCATGAACAACACTGATATTATTTCCTGCCGTGTACCATCAATAACAATTCAATCAATGACCCAAAGAAACCACCAGTCTGTTAAAAAAACAAACCATTTGTTTTTCACTGTGTTTCCTGACAAGTTTCCGAGGTCACAGCAAGGTTCTGTTTATGTAGCAAAAACTGCTAGCTCTGAAGGAAATGTTAGTATGCACGTGTGTGCGCACACTCAAGTATCGCGGCCCGTGTACTCGACTACATTCTCGAACGAGGTGTGTGCGTAACAAAATGTTTTAGTGCTGAGCAGACTGTTATTCTTACAGTGCCAGAATCCCCAGCTGGCAACGTTTCCCTGAACCAAAGAGCGTTTCAGGGAGAGAGAGATGTTTTTTGGATAACCACACCACAGTTTCTCTCTCTTGTGCTTCCATTAAAAACAGTCTGCAACCCTGCACTTAGTGTTACTGGACAGAGATAGAAAAGCTTGTGCTGCTCTATCTAAGAACATCTCTTGCAGGCCTTTTACTAAATGGAAAATCTGGGGCGACCTGGTAGCTCACCTGGTAGAGCTGGTGCTCCATGTACCAGGGCTGAGTCCTATGGGTTTAAATCTGACCTGTGGCCCTTTGCATGTCATCCCTTCTCCCTCTCTCGCTCTCTTTTCTGTCAATCTTTAGCTGTCCTATTCAATAAAAGGCATTCACACACTGAGGATGCTGCTTTTTCAGTTAGAATCCACAAACTTGACTGTAGGCAAATGTACTCCTTGTTCTTCTTCTTTCTAAGACGATGGACTAGTAGCTGTTTATAGGCAATTCCTTCACACACCCACAACAAAATGCCTTACGCAGACTCATATCTACCCAGCCCTCCTACATACACTGCTCTCTGAGCACACCACTGCTATTGAACAGCACACAAAAAGAGAGGTGTGCAGTCACAAGGTATCGGAGCTGCAGGGTCAGGAGAGGATGGAGATCCTTGTATATGGGCATGGAGGGGCCCTGACTTGCCTCAGCTAACCAGATTGCTGCGTCCAGTCAGGCTCTGTAATCTAATATGGGAGCACAGAGAAACAATGCATTAGGGTTTAGTCTCTCGCTCATACACCAGCTCAGTCCATTTAACCATGCAGTGAACTCAGTCATGCCAAGAATACCAGAACCGAACTAGATAATGAACTGAAAAGGCAGATAGCAACAATAACAATAAGCTGTTTTCTTCTGCTGTGACCCGTGACGTCGGGCAGGGCAAGTTAGGGATGTTTTTATGTCAACAATCTGTGACTTAATCAGTGTAGAGTTGGTGGTATAGGGAGTGGCTGAGATTAGCTTTAAGGTAAGAAAGTATTCTTCCTACTTCTCAAAAATGTGACCAGATGAGACAACAACAATGCTGACCAAGGCCTTATAATGAGATAATGCAGGAATGTTATGAGGCAGCTTCACGTGTGGGGTTATTCCTCCCATAAAAAAAAATAAAGGTGGCTGACTCAAATAAACAGGGAGCAAATATAAAAGCCTCAGCCTCACTAGAAATGTGTCCTGTCATCTGACACAGCCTGCAATTAAGATGACTAACTCTCATCGTTGCATTTAAGAGAATTGAGCCGTTTTGGCTGTGTGAGAAAAGTAAAATTCAAAAATCAAAAAGCAGTTCCTCCCACTTGTGCACAGCGATAAAAGCCACATCCGTTTGTCCTGTGGTCAGGGCTACATTTACTCAGCTGTCCAACCAGCTGCTGTAACCGAATTCACAAACGCATCTGGTCCATCTCAATTATAGACTGTTCAAGACAGTAGGAGCTTGGTGCTGCATGCAACATTATACAGTTGTGTCTTATTATTATACATGCAACCGTGTGCGTCAGAGGTGAAAGCCCTCACGTTTGTTAAAATAAACACAGGCTGAGCACTGCCACCTAGTGGTTTTCAATCAAAAACAATGGTGCAGAATTACAGAAAAACATTTGTGTTGTCAGAAATAAAACTGCATTTGCACCATGTAGAGAGAATACGCTTTATTTAAAAGTGTTAAATATTAAAAATAGATTACTCCAGCTTCATTTAAGATGAGATGTAAGGTCACAGTTCATAAACTAAACACCCTCTACCTACTAAAGAACCCTGTATGTGCAAGATTTTATTTAAGTCAATCACAAATTGCTTAATAGGTTGTCTGAGTAAAACATTATCAAGTCCTGTGTAAAACATAAAAAACACTTTATTCCCTCTTTTTACTAAACATGTCCCAGAGGCCATCTGAAGAGAGGAGTCTTGTGCTTCAACCAGCTGTGGTATCAAAGCCTGCACACAGAAAGTTCTTCCAGAGAAACCTCATGTTTCCCAGGAGAGGTCGTCCTGTTTTAGGCTGTTCCTCAGCTTCTGGGTCTCTCTGAGAAGCTGCAGGTTGTTGTGAGTGGTCCCACCTTTCTTTCCTTTCTGCTTGGGTTTAACAGGAGAAGGAGCAGGTGGCTTGATCCCGCTCGGCTTCTTCGTTTTGTGTTCCTCTGCGCGTGGCTGGCTCTGGGACAATTGGTGGACCTGTCCAGGAGCCGAAGACATTAGAAAACATTAGACACCTTAAACATTTATGGGTGAAGATCAGCTAACACTACAGACACTGGACATACTTGAAGGTCCAGTGTGTAACATTCAGGAGGGACTATTGGCAGAAATGGAATATAATATTCATAGATGTGTTTTCATTAGTGTGTAATCACCTGAACACAGGAATCTCTGTGTTTATGTTACTTTAGAATGAGCAGTTTTTAATCTACAGTAGCCCAAAACGGACAAACCAAACACAGACAGAAGAAAGGACCTTTTTTTCCGCTGCCACTTTCTTCTACACACTTCACAGCCCATCCTCATTTCCAGGTCATAAAATACAGACTTCACCCCCTATAGCCACTAAATCCTACACACTGGTTCGTTAAATTAAACACTACATGTCTACAAAGTTCCTCAATGAGGCTGGATTGTACCGAGTGACGGTTCACATACCGTCTGCTGGTGTTTGCGGAGTTTGGTGATCTGAACTCCCTTCTCTTCCATCCTGGCGACCAACCTCTCAAGTTCTCTCTGCAGATCCTGCTTCTGGTTGCGATGTTGGGTTGCATCTATCTGAGCCACCAACTCCTGATGCTCACTGACAAAAGAAAAACAAACACAGACACAGATTACTAAATGTGTAAAAGAAAGTAAAGTAAAAAAAAAACAAATACAAATCTCACTCACAAGCTCATTTGTCCTAACTCGTCCTGCAGAGCCAAGAGCAGATCAGACAGCGAGCCCAGTGACTGATCTGCTCGTTTGGGCTCCCTGTCAGGATTGTGAAAAGTAGTGGGAGATTGAGAAAAGTCCTTTTGGAGGCTTTTCTTGGCTCCACAACCAGATCTCTGCAGAGCGCTCACTCGTTCACACAGCTGGGGCTGATGGTGCTTCATCATGTGAAGTATACTTTGTATGTTGGCGTGGACTGAATGGCTCGGGCTCGTCGACTGCAACAGGTAGGGGAGATCAAAATCAATAGAAAAAAAGGGGAAACGGTTAATAATTCATGGTTTTTAGAGTTAGTGCAGAGCAGAACGGACTTACTGTTCCAGCAACAAAAGGCATTTTGTTCTGTCTGGAGGTTTTGTGCCTTGGGGGGCTTGGTGATGCCAGCTCGTTCTGTCTGGAGGTTTTCTGAGGTAGAAGATAGATTTTATCACTACTATGTGCAAACAAACAATAAGTTAATAGTTAATTAGCTTTATCAATAAGAAACGTACCTTTATGCTCTTTTTTGTTTTCTTCTTTGGCTTGATGTCTTCAGTCGTTTGGACAGACATTCGAAAGTTGATGTCCAACTCTTTCTGCAGCTGTGGACATAATGGCAATAATAGCACGATTAAAGAAAAATCAAAAAAAGCTGCGTCTGCTGTACCTATCAAGATTCTTTGTTGGCATTTTACCATTATTAGATTAGAGATAATTTTATAGGGACTAAAAGTAATTGACCTTTTATATAAAACAAAAAAGAAGTGCTTATTTTCTTAATTTATTCTAAAATATGTGCATATTTGGGATAAAGGGAATTACAGAAGCTGAGAACGACCATGCTTACAGTTATTTTTTAAGTCTGTTATGCCGTCCGATGTCTGGTTCATTTGATCACTACTGATTTCAGCCTTTAAGATCACTGTCGACTGTTTGGGACGATCATTACTGACCTGAAACAAGTTGCTACCAGAATGTACATCTGAGAGTTAACTTAAAATATTCATTTCTTGGCCATTTGATGCTATTTTGGTCAATATGAAATATTAACTGGCAAGTTATTCCTCCATGCATTGTCCATTATGTTTAACCAATGCTATATCTATAAAAACGCCATCTATGCAAGCTGGCATTGCACTGCTGATCTCTGACAAACAGTTTAAGTAATAAAAGGAAACGACTTTTAGCTTTGTTGTGATAACGGGTTCATTATCTTGTTATCTACAAACAAACAAAGTTATTTTTCTCCAGATAAATTAACTTGTGATCTCAAGATAGCCGGCTATTAAAAAAATAATTATTGGCAAAGCACGGCATATTTCGGGCTTCAGTAGAGAAAAAAACAACAAGGTAAACTTCTGATCCAAAAAGTGAGAAGTGTGCGCACACTGACTTTGTCTGCTTTCTCCTGCACAAGTTGACGTTCGTGTTCTTCTTTCAGTAGCTTTTGCTCCAGAAAGGCCAGCTTCCTCTGAAAGCAAAATTGCACTGAAGTAAGGATCTTATCATTCAGACTAATCATTTGGAAGAACTGTGAAATTACCTCTGCCAGAGTTTGGGTCCTGCTCAATTTGAGACACTCCGATTCAAGTTTTTCCAGCTTCTCGCGCTGAGATTGGGCGTTGGAGCTGCTCGGCTGCTGGTTCTGCAGTGAGGCCTAGAGGGGGGAGACCGACAGGGATTATATGGCGGCTCTGTAACATGCTTACAGTACATAGAGAGATGTAACCTAATGGAACACAGATGAGGAATAGAATTAGGATATAAACATAATGTGTTATCCTTCTGTGAGCTACAAAACTACACTTTTGGACTACCTGATTCTCCATGAGAGCATTCCTCTCCTTCTTAGCGTTTTCAACCATCTTCCTCATGTAGTCCAGCTGCTTCTCAAGAACCTTACACCGAGACTCTGCCGACTGCAGCTTCACGTCCAGCTCTGTTATCACAAACACAGAACACAGGGAAGACTTCACATTTTTATAACGCCCAAGAAGACAGCAGAGGCCTCTCCCGTTGCGCCCTCCGTCACTTACCTTTCCTGTCAGTGTTATCTGTCTCAGGCAGGCTGACCGGCTGGCTGTGCGTTGTATGAGATGCTGCGACCTGTTGATGAGCTTCATGGGAGAACTGGTGGTAGCTCTTCTCTGCTTGCTTCCTCTCCAGCTCCAGCCGTCGGATTTTCTGCTGCAGGGTCTTCAGTGCGTCAACGACAGCTTAATAAGGACGACACAAATTATAGCAGGAGGCCACCACGGCAAAAACACTGCATGAGACCAGCTTGACACAATGGCTGCACCGTACCTTTGCTGTCAATATTAGGTTTGGTCTGAGACCCCTGAGGGTCCATGCTGACGGAGGAGTGTGCAGGGAGCTGCAGCTGTCTGGGCACTGACAGTATCCTGTCTGGAGGCTGGTAATAGCTCCCAATGTAGCTGTTTTTGGAGGGCGAGTCTAAAATCTACAGACAAGAGGAGAAGGAGGAGGCTTTAGAGACAGAAGATAGCAGCAAACGTTAATGATTATTTCCATTAGTGGTTAATTGTTCAGTCGCTAAGATGGGTTCTTCTGTTTGACTCACAGTCCAATACCAAGATGATAACATGTAATATAAAAGCACCAGCAAATCCTGTACTTTCTCCTGTGTTAAAGACTTATTAAAGCATTGATTTATTGAAGCTGCAGTGAGGAGAAAGCTGATAAATACACACAAACCGTAACGCTCCTAAACGCCTCACGACCTCCGTTACAAACACGGTTAAAATACACCGTGTTATCCCAGCTTAAAACCTGCAACGACCTCCCTCCCCTCTCCCCTTATCAAACCAACCTCACTGGACGTTAAACTTTGATAAAAGCCACAAAAAAACCCCACTTTCAGACGACCCCAGCAGCTCACAGCAGCGTCAGAGAAAGTAAACAAAGCTAACGCGATAGCCACACTCGCAGCTAACGGCCGGTGGGCGACCGTTACCTGATCGTAACGAGCCTCCATCCTGTCACTCAGAGATCGATACTCGTTTCAAAACAGCTCCTGTGTTTATGTTTAATATCCTCACACCGCTTGTGTAAGTGGTGAACTGGTTTCTACGTAGATATTTCACTTTCCGACTCCTGTCCGCTTCACATCGGGCAGTCCGCACTTTTTAAATTTCCCTCCTCTTTGCCGCCCTCATCTCGGAGGTTCCGCCTCCTGCTGCTGCTTCCCAAACATTCACACTATATATAATAATAATAATAGTAATAATAATATATATACTATATATTCCAACACTTGTTTCCTTAAGGGACCCCTTTTCTATCTATCATTGATGACTAAGTGACATATTTTATACAGTTACAACGGATAAACTGTACAGTGAATTTGGTAAATATTACATTAGATGTATGTTTGTTTGTTTTTTGATGGTTTTAGGAACCTTTTATACAATTATATGTCTCTATTGTGTATTTTTTTTTTAACAATCATAAATTCTATCCAAGCAAACAATTTCATTTTGTTTTCGTCACATAATTATAGGCAGATAGATACTTTATTTATCCCGAGGGAAATTCAAGTATCCAGTAGCATACAAGAAACAAAACATACATTACATACACCTTAACAACCTTAAAAATAAAGTAAAAGATAAAAATATAAAATATTATATATAAAATTAACAGTAACAGTAATTAGACAAGTTTTCTTACACACCTTTAAATTAAGAAGGCCTCACAACCCCCCAGTGAAACTTTGGTGACCTCTAATGGGGGTCAGATTTTCAGATTTTGTCAGAGAGACACCATCTGACACTTTCATATAATTTAGATAAAATAAAAGAGTAAAGTCTAATATAATTTCCCACTTTCTGCCAACCCTGTTAAAACAATCGAGGCCTTCGCCCTCTCCACATTGGAGGGAACATTTTAGCAACATAAACTATAAAGTATTGATAACGAATCATATCTATGTCACATGTTCAAATGCATTTAATCTTTGCGTTTATAATACAGTGAGCATTCGTGAAATCAAAGATCTAAAGCCTCACAAAACTGCTGGCAGAAATATAAAGCAGGACGATAGCCAGAATAAATACTGAGAGTCACTCATCCTGCATGCAGCTTTATGGATCAGAAGTATTTTTGCCTGTTTTGATTAGAATACAGACGAACCAGTAGACTAACATTTAAAGTATTTAATCATTTCCAAACACACTGCTAAAAAAAAACTGGTGCACATGAGTGAAGAAAACACACCCTGTTATCATTTTGATTTATCCAAAGACACACATCCCCCAAAATACAGAGGACATACATGACCTCAGCGTCCTCAGTGGTAGCTATGGCCTTAAATAACACGTGTTGGAGTTTGATTACGTGGAGACACTTTAAACCAAAAAAAGTTATTGTTAAAGGCATTTTTCTGGCCTCTTGAGCTATTGTCAGTCAGTAGTGTCTGAAGCCAATCAGTCACCTTGTAAACATTTGCACAGTACGCAAAAAGCCTGCTGCAGCAGAAGGCAACATGTCTGTAGTCGTAGCAGGTGTGCTGCAACATAAAACATGTATTTTCTCTAAAACTTATTTTGGTATTTGTGTTTCTCCCAGTTTCCAGATTCGTACATCTTAAGTAGGTTTATATATTTTTTTGGTTAGAGACAACACCTTTGTCTCTAATACAGATTTACATGACATGCAGCATCACATTTTAACTTCTTTTAGACGACAATCTTCATCATTGAGTTTCAGTGTGTAGCTTTGGCAGTTCAGTTAAATGCAAATGAGATTAAACAACAAAAGCGAATCAACCCGACACGTACAATATCTCCCTCTTTCTCTCTCCTCTGCCTGCCTCTCAGTTATTTTCTGATAAACAAGAGAAAGGGGGGCTTTTGCCGACGAACTGCATGATGGGAGATGTAGTTCCGACGCGCCACCCTTTCAAAACACGGATCGAACGCAGAGAATCCAACTCCCAGGAAACCTTCCCCCAGGCGAGCTTGGCAACTGGCCTCCGACCAATCAGGTGGCCAGAATTCGCACGGACACGCCCTCAGAACGCCCACGGCCGCCTCTCATTGGCCAGCCCGCCCCGCCAATCAAATGTTCCTAGCCGTCGCCTCCTACCGTTTCGAGCTGTTTGCTGGTCTGTGCAGTGTCAAGGCGTCCCGTAAGCAGCAGACCTGCACCGGAGAATGTGGATAAAGTGAGTATTTGAGAGAGTGACACTTTTTGTTCGTGGGTCCACGGTGAAAGGTGGGGCTGTGGGTTCCTCCGCGGTTCTGTTGTACTTTACGGGTGTCTTTTGTTATTAATGGGTGCCTTGGAAAAAAACAACAAAAAAAAAAAAAAAGCCTTGACACGAAAGGAAGACAGGGACAGATTGAATGGACCTCACTTAAATGGAAAGTTGCGTTATTTGTACATTATTTTTAAATGCAAAAGCAGTTGGAGGCAGTAACACTTTAATTTCCAGATTATGATGGTTTTAACTTCAGTGCATAGTCTGGACTAAAACCAGGTTGTTTTTTGGGTTTTTTTTTGGTTGGAAGTTAACAGATCAAATGTTCAGTGTTACATTTGTCAGCTTGATCTTGGTTTAAATGCCTGTATTCCTGCTAGAGCCCGACTAATACTGGCTGTTTTAGGTCAGATTAATGCATATGTATGTGTATGTGTATGTGTATATATATATACACATACACATATAGATAAAGGCATATTTATATTTAGACATAGGTAGATAGAAAGAAGCATTTGATAAAATCTCTTGAATTCCTTTATTAAAGAACTGTGGTGAAGATCTTTACTGAGTAGGCATGATTAAATATACCATGTGTGACCATACTGTTTATACATTATACAGTGATATCAGTGTGTTAGGCCATTGTAGTATTGCAAATGAAAAATCAGAACTTCTTTGAAGCAATATTAGATTTTTACATGACTTTTTGCATCATTGTGATGTTGTCAGCTGTGTTGGATTATGTCGCGTCTGGTTATTTTATTCATAAACTCTATAAAACTATATATTTGAGCTATAAAAAAATACACATTTAATACAGATCTGACATTATTTAACAGTTGGAAAATAAACTTGTAAGTGCTGCCAGGTGCAAGTATGTCAATGCAATTTGCAACACAAATTCTTGTTGCTTACTGGCTGATATATGTGCTAATATCGGGCAATAGTAGCTCTTGCAGTGCTGTCTGACACTGAATGACATTATAGGTGCATGCCCAACCACAGTTCCCCACTAGAATAGCATTAAAATAAACATTGCTTTGGGGTTTTTTTGATCCTGTGATGTAAACCATACAATGTTTCATGTGTTACTTGTTGTGTAGCTTGTTGTAAGACAGCACAAACACTAGTCCCACATCAGAAGATGGACGTGCAGGACCAGGAGTCTCTGGGGAGATGGGACGGGCTGGGCAGCCGGGATGCCATCTCCAGAAGCGAAGCCATGGAGAACATCCGCCAGATGGTGATGAGGAAAGTGGAGGCCATCAGACCCATACCGACACCGGCCCTCTCGCCCCCAGCCTCGGGATGCCTTCCCAACAGCGACCTGAACGACATCCTGGCTCACCTTCTCATGCTCTCCAAACGGTGTCCCTTTGAAGACGTCAGGGAGCGATGCATTCGGCTCCTGCAGGCTGTCCAGGTAGGAGATTAATACAGCTTTTTATAATAAGACGTCCTGTGAGCTTTTTGTTCTGTGTTACATTAAGCTGCACCAGGCTGTCAAATGTCCTTTCATACTAGTGCTTATGGTATTGTTCTGCTGCCATCTGCTCCTGTCTTCACCTCTTCATAAGCATTACAAACAGTGCGCTTGAGTCAGAACGTTTGTGAAGACCCAATGCATGTTTTGTCAAGTGGATTACATTCAGTGACACAATGAGACACCGCAACCTAATTAACACTGAAACACTACATGAGCCAAGGCCGATCGTGTCCTTCAGCGACATGCATACATGCACAAAGAGTTAGTAGTTTGTATAAACTGTTTTACTGTACAGAAAATACACCGATATTCACCACAAATAAACTGTAATGGTGAGAGTACACACATTCAGATGGACAAAATACTGGTTTTAAAGACAAGTACAAGTATACTGCTAATAAATTATTACTCCATAATAAGATAACTTAACCTAAAATCATTGAAATGGCCACAAAAGGTTTTTTGAAAGGCTGCAGATGCAAAAAAAGATTTTAATTTCTTTGCCATGTATCACAAATTTCACATTTCACACTTATTACATTCTAATTTTAAGGATTTAATTGATGGTTACATTAAAATAACAGCAGAATAAACATTTCTTAATTGCCACAAGCAATCAATACTAAGGAGTTTAAATGCCCCATTGGTCTAATGTCCTAATAACTCCCCCCTCCCCAACCAACATACACACACACACACACACACACACACACAATAATAATAATATAGATTGCCTCAATTACCATACAGTATATAACATATACAATAAAAGTACTGAATCTTTCTGAAAAATAACATTTTAAAAGAACAATTTCCTTCCCTCTGAAGCACATTTCATGACTTTATTATATAATTTTTTATCTAATTTGCCCAAGGGCTTATATTTACAGCCACAAACTGAGTTCTGCTAATAAAAACATCCACACTGCTGAAAGCTAAGACTTATTTTTTAACTGAAACTACTCAGTAACGCCCTCCATCATCAACATTACGCCAATATAACATCCAACATCTTCATCGTTTTTTACAGTGTAGCTGATTTAACACAATCAGTATGTCCTGTCATTTCAGTTGGTAATTTAAATGCTGTTGGTGTGACCAGTGTGATATTCCACAGGTCTGTTATTAATATAATGAAAATGGGTGTAATATAACGAGGAATGGGGACGGCTGGAGGCAGACATCACACCGACCCGTGGTCTGTCTCAACCACCTGCTCACATAAATATAATATCGTTCTATCAGCTAATATCCACGCCAGCGCTGTCGGTTTGGTGGTTGGTTTGTGTTTTTGTTGTTATTGCAGATGTGGTCAAGTGTTACTTGGATTCAGGTCACAACATGTACCTGTACGTTCTGTATTCATGTTGTTGTCAGTCCTGAATGAACCATAATACCAATAAAATACATAAATGATTTAATATTCATGGATGATTAATGTTGGTGCCAAAGTATTTTCGGATTTATTATATTTTGTCAGTTAAAATTGTCATTATTTACTTGCAAAGAACAAAATATTGGCTTTATCCGGGCTTTAGCGAGGTGTTAGCTGTGGCCTTTTCCACTTAATGAGTCCTCTAATAACAAACAAAACTAAGCTTGACAACTTTTGATGGCCTGACGGGGTTGTTATTCCGAGGAAATAGACTGGTTGGCAGTGGCATTAATTCCTGTTTGTGCGGAAGTGTTTTTTGGAAGATGGAGGAGAGGGGCAGAGAGAGATGAGAGAGGGAGAAAGCTGCTTTGTGGATTTAGCAGTGCACCACAGTACACACCGTCTGGTATTTTTGAATTATGCTAAGCTGCATTTGCTGTGGGCTTGCCAAAGGGTGCATTTATGAGCCCAGTGTGGCAGCTCATGTCGTTCTGGTCCCACGGTTGAAGACTCCCCTGACCAACACACATACACACACACACACACACACACACACCTTTCTCACGTTGTCAGGGATTGAAGGGGGTAAGGGAGGGGGCTCAGGCTCAGACAGACCTCTAATTCCAGCAGATCTGCTGATTAAAGACAAAATCTTTGAAAACACAGACAGTTCTTTCCTCATGACAACCCCCTCTCTTCTAGAGGAGGAAGGCCTCCTGCTTGGTGAGAATAATGTCCTCTAATACCCTCATGGCTCGCAGAAATTTGGCCTGGAACAATATTTTGCTACTTTATGGTCCCAGTGTGCAGACACACAGTGCTGTACATTTGATCAACTGTGAAGGTGTAGCCAATAATAATTTAAAGAAATAAGACATAGGCCCTCATCCGTGGGTCCAGTGTGGTATGAAGAAAATCAAATTCAGTGGCATTTAAAAATAAGGGTTAGGGATATGCCAATGTTTAGTGGCACATGTACACACATTTAAAGCAATAGCAGGGAAATGCACTTCATATATGTCCATTAAATATGAAACTACATCTAGCAGCTAGTTAGCCAAATGTGAGTAAAAAAGCTCAAGAATGAACATGTTTCTCAAAGGTCCAGTGTTTCACATTTAGGAGAATTTATTGGCAGAAATGGAATATAATATTCATAGGTAGGTTTTCATTACTGTAGATGCCTCCATGTTTAACTATCCCGCTTCTACAGTGTAGATGCCACTAAATCCTACACACTGGTTCAATTCATCTGTTAAACCTGTGGGTTTTAATGGTGGGGCGGGTTATGTGCTAGACTATTTCCTGGTCAGGGGCGTAGTAACTTCCTGAAGTATACATTGTTTGCCTGGAAACCTTATAGTGACAACAAAACATCGGGGCTTGACTTTACATCTTGTGCTTGATGTTTTTTCTTCTGACAGAATCCGGCTTGCTGTTTTCTTTAGTTTCCAGTCTTTGTGTTTGTTAGCTACGGGTGCTGGCTGATCCTTATATCACAATGACATAAAATCAATTCTATTTAATGTAGCAAAAAGAAAACATATTTCCCAAAATGACACGTGTTGGCAAGTGCCTGGACATGGACATTTAATGCTGCACATTTTTTTTTTTCTTTGTTCTGCTTCCAGTTTCAGTTGACAAACCCATATGATAAAAAAAGAGATTCAGAAACATCGAAGGCCACAGACCCTTCTCATTGCCTCTGAGTCATTGCTTGTTTTTCAAGGCACCCTGTGCATGTGTGGGAGAAGCTGTGATCACAGTTAGAGGAATGGGCTTGTGGGCTCAAATGTTTGTGTTATGTTGCCCCAGTATTGCTGAGTCCCAGGGGTCAAGGGTTACAGGGTCGCCGGACGAAAATAGGGTTCTATGTGTGCAGGGAGGGGTTGGGTTCCCTTAAGCTGTCCTTGTGGGCCAGCTGGGGTGAACACACACACACACACGAGTCAAAATCACTTACCTATGCAATGTTGCAACATGCAGACGCTGTCAGAAGGTCATCCTGGGGCTTGTCGAGGCTTGACCTTGCTGAGCTTTATTGATCTGACGTATATATTGGAACAGAGACTGACGACGGGCGAAGACGGACGTACTACATGCAAACACAGGCTCATATGCACATACACACAAATCAAGAGAGACAATAGTATGTGTTTGTTCTGAGTCTATGAAAGGGGTGGGCAGACTCCATCGTCCCGCTCTCTCTCCGGTCACCATGTTCCCTCGCTGGATGAAAGGAGTCCAGTCTTGGGCGGCTGGACAGAGACAGAGAGGGGTTTCTTTGTGTTATGTAATTACACCATTGTGTTAGCCCTTCTACCCCTAACTTGAATTAAGGACCACTCTCAAAAGATCAACCTGTCCTTTTGAAGCAGGCTGAAGACTTGTCCACATCTGCAGCCTACACGGATTAAATGATGTAGTGAAGAATGTACAGTAAATACCAAATGGACTTAGTGTCTCTTTGAATTTAATTCAGTCCAGTTCTGAGCACATACAGTCCATTTTCAGTCTGACGTTTTTTTGCTACTGAGAATTGGAAAATGGCCGAATACAATGTGAAGTTCTTGCCAATATAGGAATTCAGAATCTTACTTTGTTAGTATTGCTGCATGTTCCATAAACTTTATTTTACTAATGTTTTAATGCACAATTAAGCAGTGTACAGAAATGCATAACCCCAGCATGTGCCTCTCATGTATTACCATAACAATAGAGTCATTCGAGTCACAGAGCTAAGTGTCTGTTTTTCTGGAAGATAAATCTTTGGCAATCTTTCAAAAGCCCAGAAGGATGTTTAAACACATTTACTGCAGTTTTGAAGGTATTTCCTGAATCCGTAAAGTCTCCTTTATCCACAAGGATAGAAAATATTTAGTTTGCTGCGCAATAAAGAAGATTTTTAACACATTTCCCAAGATGGCGACTGATTTGAATTTTATTTTCAGGCGTAGTTATATATGTCAGTTTGCATTATTTTTATACCACATTTATATATTTATGGCTTATTATTCTACAAAATGAGCAACCATCTTGTTTTAGGAAAATGGGTTAAAATCTTTTTCACTGTGCTGCATACAGAGTATTTTTTGACCCAGATCCTGCTGCTTCCACTGCTTAAAAGAAATGAGGGATGAATTTTTCAGAGATTTTTTACCAGCCATTAATTTGTCGGTTAAGCGACAGTCCCGGAGTAGACTACCGGAAGGCAAAGGCTGTGGATGTTTCAAGCTTACACTGCTCCTCATTTTTTACACATACTTATTTAGCTAATTATGGACATTTAGGATGACTCAGCAGCCCCCGTAATAAACACTTGTGTGTGATTAATTAAGTGAAATGGCTTCCTGGATCTGGCCTCCTCCCAGAATAACCCTGTCTCCACGTGGAAAGCTTGGGAGTGTCTGCAGGCCATCGGAGATGACATCAGATATTGCTTTTTCAGGGTTGATTTATTTGTTGAAGGTGCACATATTCTCTGTCATGCAGGTTTTAAAGAGCATGCATTGGCTTTTAAATGTGTGTGTCAAGACTTAAGTATGCATGGTTGGACAATTAC